ACTGCATATGTCTTTTGCCGAAGCTCAGACTCTGGCACAGGGTCGGAAACGTTGGAAGCACTGCCTGAGCGACCAGAAAGAAGAAGCGGTCATGAAAAATGAAGGCAAAGATGCTTTAAAAATTTGCATACCTGCACCGAATCTTTTCCGTACTTATCAATGGCAACTTCCTCAGGCATTCCGCAGGCGCCATACTCGAGTGGAGTAAAAACGGTGGTCGGCACATTTTGATAGTCACACTAAATTTACTGAAGATGAAACATGAATAAAAACTGGACTATAACTGACCAGCTCTGACGAGCGTCCGAACATCCGTCGAACAAGTAGGCGGCCGGCGTGAATCGCAACCGGTGTTAGCTCTGGCCGTCCGTCCAGGGTGTCTCCAATGGCATAAACGTGCGGTGCGCTGACGCTCTGTTCGTTGGAATAACAGACAATCTTTTTGTTCCTGAAACAAGAGACATACAAATGCAAAAACATGAATTATGTCAGCTGAGGGAGGGTGATCGTGATTTGGAATGAATCGCGAACAGATTACTGGTCTTTCATCGCACTCAAATAAATAGACGAAGAGAATTTTGTAGGAAAGAAACAATAGTCTACATACTGCCATAATCTATTGGAGATAATCGCGGTATAACATGGTTTCCGAAAGAACTGAGCCACAAACAGCCATTAGCACATGGAAGTGTAATGAAAACGGAGAGTAACATCATAACGACTCCAGTTTACCATTCTTTTTTAATTAAAGCAGAAATTATAGAATTTATAAACAACTAAACTTACTTCCCTCTCGTGATAATATAAGAATCAGTTAAGAATGCGTCCAAAGATGAGATAATTTGTCAGACAGCTGTTTCTATTTACATGAAGAGGGCAACTAATTTTTACATCAACCTGAGAAAGTATAAAAAATCAACCAATTTCTGTCGTTACCCTCTAGTAATCGATACAAGAATTCATTCAAAATAAATTCATTTACTTGTCATTCTGGAAAACATTCACGGCTTCTAAATTGAGACTTTCAGTCACTGCGTCCCTTCCGATTGCCAAAATCACCTAAACCATATTCAGATATTCACTCTAAATGTAAAACAAAGAACACTCACAGTCTTAAAATTAATGGGTGCGGCAAAAATTATTAAGGAGTCGGAAGCTCCTTCCTGCAATCTCCCTCGGGACAATTCAAACGGAAAAAACGGATGCAGTTGAGCAGGAAACAAATCCACTCTCCCACCACTCGCTTTGTTTAACAAAGTTTATCAAAGTAAAAAAAATTAGAAGTCTGTAGGGAAAAATTTCCACGCCGGCACATAAAACCTACAGCAATCAAAATGTAGCATCGTAAAAAATCTAGCTTTCATCCCTCTTTACAGTTTTCGAAATTACCTACCATCAATAAATATGCCGTATACCCGACATCTCAGAAATGACGCAACTAAACAGAACAGCTAAGAACGCCTACTACAGTACTTACTGTATTATATTCGTCAACAATGGTTTCGCCTGAATTCGATTTCGCAGTGACACGAAGAAGACCTGGAATTCCATCTTCGATTTTTTCGACCTGAACGGACGAATTAAAGCTTGAAATGCTCATTTTTTTAATGCACAAAAGGACTTCATTACATATTGCAATATGAGCAAATATTAAAAATCTCAAAGAATTATTCTGCTTGATGATTAAAGTTGATGCGTCAATCAGTAATGGAGTACTTCAGGAATTTCTTCACTCCTATAACAGCGGATTAATTATCGAACGTCCATAAGTGCATCTCAGCAGTCAGTCAAATATTATCCT